GAATCAGAATTTTGGGCAGAAAGCTTTAGAATGTGTATTTTAACAAGCTCACTGGGTGGTTCTCTTCCATAGGAAATTGGCTTCGGGTAACCTTATCAGGATTCAATTAATTTAAGTCATAAAACACAGGTGAGAAAAGGAGGAATTTGTGTAAATGTGGGAGTTCCCAAACCGTTGTTAAGGGAAAACCCTTCTGAGAGTTATTAAGAGGTGAACTGAGTACAAAGACTCCCACAAAATTTGGTGTAATTATTCAAATCGATCAGGTTTCTTTCCCTTTTTTTTTCCTTCAGGATTTCCGTATGTTTAATATGAATCATCAACAGGGAGATTCAACAATTTGGGAGATGCAAAATTTCCAAAGTTTATTTGCTCACGAAACAATTTTCTCCCTTTGAGGATCAGAATTTATATTCCATAGAAAGCCATAGGCCATGAGAAACCCCAAACTAGACCTTATGTTAATAATATACTATAATTTGAGAGAACACACAGTATGTACATCTTATCCAATGGAAAATTTTAGAATTTGAGTGAAAGAATGACATTTCTTTTTGCTTACGGATAGAAAATGATGGAAAGATAATATACGGGGAATTGTGAACACCTAGTGTTTTTCAAACTTTCTTTTGGCTGAGGACCTATTTCATAAAGTTAAATTTTAACTCAATGATATAAGATAGAAAAAAAATAGAAGCAGAAGTACTATGGTTTAAAGAACGGGGGGAGGAGGAGCCCCGAAGTCTCCATTTGCTCCTACTCGCCAGTGCCTCGCCGACCTCCCCAACCCTGATTTCTGATTCAGAAGAATCTCTCTGGTTCCTGGGAAGGCGCTGTGAAATCCACAAAGCTTGCTTTCCATATAAATGTGAAGGCTTAAGTATTTGACCTTTGTGCAGAAATTAGAGGTACGTGGAAAGGTGACAGTCTGAGCATGAAGGCTGTTTTGTGAGAGGGGCATGACCTCTAAATCCTGACACTTGTGCTGGTCTGAACTGGAGGGGACTCTCTAAAAATCAAGGGACAAGTGGGGGATAACTTAGGGGCTTAGATGAACAGGAGAGGAAATGTTAGCTTTCAAAAAGCTGCTCAGCTAGGAAGCAGCTGGAGTATATCTATGTAGCTGGGTCAGAAAGAACTAGAAATTGTATTCTAGAAATAGTTCTGCGCAGATCTTTTCAAGCCGCAAAACTTTACCACTGGCTGGAAAATAAAATTGTGCTGACTGGTTGACCTCTGATACATTACTCGCTCTGAAATAAATGCAAGCTGCAGGAAAAGCCAGGGCTTTAGAGGTGTGTCCTATGAAGGCAAAGGTCACCTCTTAACTCAAGAGTCTCTGAAAAAATGTGAGACAAAGGTCCTCTGATGAGAAGCAATGCCTTACCATCTCCCATTTGGACAGGACATTGGCTGTTATTTATAATGTAGTACCTTATGTATGTATATCCTTTTTACGTCTTCCCTTGGATAAATGTCCAGGTAAACAGTGCACTTAAAGCACAGATTCTTTTTATCTCAAATTCTCTGTCCCAGAAAAGTTCCATCTGTCACTATATAAAAGTCACTCAGGAATAGGGTCCTACAGTATATGACATGATTCACACGAGACAGAGAGCCAACAGGCCCAAGACCGATGCAGGCTGCAACACTCACCTGTCCACAATGATGCCGTGAGGTATGAGGACATATTCCAAATCTCCATAATAGTGCTGCGGGTACGTGAATAAATTCAAGTCATATCCTGGCCAATTATCCATAATCTGTAAATCAGATTATTTTGGTTATGGTATTTTCCACTGGAAATTCATTTTAAAAACATTAAAAAAAGAGTTATCATTGGAAAAACAGAATATTAAAACCAGAGAATAGGTCTGATGATCAATTTGACATTAATTTATATTCTGTCAACCTACAAAAAGCTCAGTGGGACAAGGTAATTTGTTTCATATAACCTGACAAAGGACCTAGTGCTGAAGTGAGAGCATGTACTCCATTCCCAAAACTTGACAGTATGCGATAAAAATACAAACTCAGTGTCTTACAGCTAACCTGATGGTATTGTTTGTAAGAGTGTATATGTGTAAATATAGAATTTCTATTTAAATTATAGACATTATGAAGATATATCAGTAACATTATATTTGTAGTTATGCTAATGTAGACAGTATCATCATATATCACTATGCTGTCTTATATATACTATTACATTTCTATGCATTGTAAATGCCTCCTGTTAAAAGTCCACGTCTCCGGGAATTAGTGCAGACCCACACTTCTAAGTCATCTCGTCCTCCTGGTAAATTCTGCTGAAGGATGTACTGTGGTGGGAACTAAAAGCAGTCTTACCGGGAAACTGTTGCTCCAGAAAATTGGCCTATTCAGGCTGTTAGCAAGTCTTCCTCTTGCTTAGGATGGGATGTGCATGTTTTATGGTTAAAATAGTAAAGAGGTGGGAGAGGAAATGAAGGTGAAGGTCTTACTTTGACTTTCAGATCGCCAAGAAAGGTGCCACACGAAAGTGTTACTCACTCTCGAAGCACATCGTGGCTGCATCGCCGGGTCCAGCTCTTTACTCCTGCACGCTCTGTCAGACTGCTCTGTCAAGCTTTAAGCTTTCAAGGCCTTTCACAATGCAGTCTTACCCTAATTTTCTAGCCCAGTTTCCTACACTATCCCCTTCCCATGCTCAGTTTGGTCTTCAGTCAAGTCACGATCCTTCCCAGCTGCGTTCTTTTTGTTCATCTGTCTGTCTTGCACCTATAACTTCCCCCAGTTCTGTATCCTAAGCTCAGCTCCCTTTTCAGAAGCTCAAGTCAGGCCCCGCTCTTTCTGGAGGCCTGTTCCCGCCCTCTGCTCTCTCTCAAACTCCTGGTGCCCCTCACACCTATCTGTTCAATCAAAGGCTTCTCTTCAGGCTCCTTGAGAAGACTCCTGCCCCTTCCTGCCCCTGGCTCGCTCAGTCTGGTTTGGTTGTATTGTCTTAGAATCCAGCTGAACTTCATTTAATGCTGGGACATTCTTCTGCTCTCCATTTTCCTCCCCTGGGACTCTTTTGCTCGGGTTTTGAAAGGGCGTCTAGCCCCCACCTGCTCCCATCCAAGTTCTGGGTTCTAGAATGCCAGCCAAACGAAACTTGTGATATCTCCCCCCCAAATTAATCCTTCCCTCTCGGTAAAGGACAACTCATTTTCCTGGTTATTCAGATCGAAACTTCAGAGTTATCGTAGACTCTCATTTTTTCATCCCTTCCATGCAACCTATTGGCAAATCTTATCATCAATTCCTTTAAAAACATAACCAAGATCCCCTCTTAACATCCCCACTGCCTCCCCTCCCCATCTGTGCCATCTTGGTGCACTCGTCCCCGCCCCACACGGCAGCTGGAGGGCTCCTTTAAAACGGTGCATCATATCATAGCAGTCTTCTGCTCACATTTTTTCAAGGGCTTCCCATTTCACTGAGTACGAGCCAGAGTCCTCACATGGCTTCTCTCTCTGACTCGTCTCCCGGCCGTCTCTTCCTCTCTCCCTATGCTTCAGCTCCTGTCCTCCTTGCTGATCCTCCAACGTACCAAAGATGCTTCTGCCTCAAGAGCGTTGCACCTGCCATTTCTTTTGCCTATAATACTCTTCCACTAGATGCCCACATGGCTTACCCTTCATTTCCTTTAAGTCTCCATTCAGATGTCACCTCTATAGAGAGGCCTTCCCTGACCACCTATCTCAAATAGCACCCACCTCCTTCCCACTCATCCTTGTGTTCCCCTCACCCAGCTTTACTTTCCTTCACAGCATGTATTCCCATTGGATGTGACATGTGGGGGGTGTGTGCTTCTTTTGTCTTGTTTCCTCCCACTGGAATATTAGCTCCTCTGGCAGAAACTTTGTCGGTCTTATTCATTATTGAATCCCCAGTACCCAGGACACTGACCTGGAATGTGGTAAGTGTTCGAAATTGTTAAATGAGTGAATGAATAACACAGTCTCCGCCCGCAGATACTACCTGAACTCCAGCCTCAATCCTCAGTTTGTCTCCTCGTAATAAAGAACAGCACTGTTCAAGGCTCTGGAAATTCATATTGACTGTGAGCAGACTGATAGCCAAAGGTGCATGTCATCTGCATATTTGAAGAGTATCACATTTGCCCTGCCTCTACCAGCAAATTGGCTGGGTGTAACTGTTGAGTTTACACAGAGCAACTCTGGCTTCCACCCCTGAGAACTCCTCGGGCCTGCTATAACCATCAATACCACAGCGGCTGGTCAGAGCCTGAACCACCAGCTGTACGTGAGCAGCTTCCAGATCTGCTGGCAGGCCAAGGTTAGACCAGACGAGAACCCTGACCAGCACCAGGGAGACCATCCAAGTGCATAGCACTTTCTGGCTCCCCTTCCAGACCACACACACTACCCACTCTACTTCCGGGAGCGCTTCCAGGTGGTGGCATCCTTAACTAATGGTCTTCTCAGCCCATTCTTCCCACCATGCAAGTCCTTTACTGCCCTCTGCTCTGGCTAAATCTCAGAGACTACTCTCCATATTCTACAGCTCGGCTCTGACGCAGGCTGCGATGTTAGGGAAATTATTTACCCTTTATGAGACCCAGTTTCCCCCTCCCTTAAATAAGACACGTTAAAACCTATGGACAGGGTAGTTATGAGGACTAAGACTGGAACAAATAACATACTTAGAGTTCCTAGTACATTTTTCTGGTGTTTAATAAGTGCTTAATAAACGACGCCCCATAAAGAAAAGAATAAGTGACAAATAAAACCAACTTATAGATAAAAGCTGTAGTGGTAACCTGGAGCTGAGAGGCAGACAGAGAAATGTAAAGTGCAGTCAATGCCTGCCCCATACAGTTACTGTGAGGATTAAATACGACAGATAATGGATATAAAACTCTTCTATCCACACCTAGTCTGTAGTGCTTACGCAATATATTAACCATTTAGATGTACTGAAACATCGATAGTTTACTTACAAATTCTATGCTCCGATTAATTTAAAGGGCCTCAAACCTACCTGCAAAGTCTTATTACTCTAGTTAAAGTTGTAAATTTAAAAGTAGAAGAAATGTATTTCTCTAAAACTATTCTATAATCCAAAATTGGCCTTATTTTCAACGAGCATGACATAGCGTTTTCCTTGTTGAGAGAAAAGACCACTGGAGATAAAGGAACTACTCGTTTACCCTTTGTTATCCTTAACGGTGCATGCAAATTGCATTGTAAATAAGTCCTAAACCCGAAGGAATAGAGGCCGCTATGAACTGTAGATAACTGTGTTATTAATCTGCTTTTCAAAAAAATCAAAATGAGAAGTCTTTAAATAGTTTCAGTATCACAGATAACATGCTCTAAGTTTATTCAGAACAATGCTTTCTCTGTTCAAAGACGCAAAACATAGCTAGGCTGGGGAAGTGACAAACACATTAGCAGAGCCATTTTAGACATCAAATCCCAAAACTCTTTCTGATTCTTCTTCTCATCTGAAGATATGTCGAAAGCCTTCTTTCTAAGGCATTAAAAGTAATTTTTTGCTTAGAATAGTTCTTGCCTTATTTTTTCAAGTGGTTTCCCCCAGGGAGAGACATAGTTTAGAAACACATATAAAAAGTGAATCTCTGCTCTCTCTGCTGGGAGGTCCCTCTCTGGGCTCCACTCTCTATTTCAGGCAGTGACCACGGCTGCTGCCCATTTCAGGGTCAAGGCTACCCCTCCACCAACAGAGAGGTAGGGAGTCTCACCCCTCAGCCGTTGCCAAGAATCCCATTCGTGAACATCAGCATCTTGAACTCACTCTGAGTTTGCCTTACCTGCCTATATCCGACTTAAGTTAATCTAATTATCCTGAGTTCTACTGGAGAAAATGACATAAATGCAGAAACTATCTCCATTATACATTGATTATTTCCTACCTTGATGGGCCCTCTCACTACCTCCCTGCATCTTTTAGAAAATTACCTTGCTTCTGAGGGCTTCTTTTAACACAGATAGATTGGGCTGTTTACACTATTCCATCATTTTGCCTTTTAGACTTTAACAATCTTATTAGTCATACAAATGTACCTCATTTCTTTTTAAGAGTCTCTATTTTTAAATAGGAGTGCTGTATTTTAGCCACTCTACAGATGGGAGGGCTTCTTTTTTCACTGACGGCTTTGTAATTGTTAAATACAATGCTACTTTTCCATCCTGGTCCTACGAGCTATTTCTGCAGCATCTGACACTCTTGATGTCACTCTTAGTCCCCTCATCCCCATCCACAAAGCTCCATTCCCTGGGTACCTCCCACCCTTCCTGCTCTCTCCTGCTTTGCTACTCATTCTTGGTCTCTTTATCTGGCTTCTCCTGGACACAGTGCCTCTTACATTTGGGACTTTCTGGATTTCTAACCTTAACAGCACGTTTAAATTTTTTCCATTTCACTGGGCATCCCTATCCACGCTCAAGCACCAAGTATTTTTCTATTTGCTGGTGATTTCCAAATTTATTCCAAATATGAATTTCAAATGTGAATTTCAAGTTGTCTACTGTGCATCTTGCATGTGCATCCTACAGGCTCTACACGCTCAATCCATCCAGAATTGAACTTATTTCCCTTTTTACATTTTCATCTCCCTCCCCTTTCCCCCATGCCCAGGCCTGACCAGCCTCTTCATGACAACTGGAGTGATGTTTTTTAAAAGCATAAATTGGGTGTAATAATTTCTTCTCAGGATGTAACGATTTCTTTGTACTTGGTATGTGCTGTCATGGATTACTCTGATTCTTGGTGGCTACCTCCTGCTTACCCTTCAGATCTTAGCTCACATGTTATAGAAAAGAGGCCACTCTGATCACCTGAGCAAAAGCAGTGCTCCCCAGTCCTCTTCCAGGACATAGAGATGGGCACCCTCTGGCTGACTCCTCCTCTTTGTTCTCCTCTTTCCTTCTCATTACACATCTGAAAGTATCATCTTTATTTGCTTTCAGGCTGCCTGACTATATCCCTTCTCTAGAACGTAAGCTCCATGAAGACAGAGCTTTGTCTTGTTCCCTGCTGTATACCTAGTGCCTAGAACACCGCCTGGAACCCAGCAAAACCGCCAAGGTGTGTGGAATGATTAAATAAATGAACTCCTGTTCCTTTAAGAAGGAAAAGCCCTGCTGTTAGATTTTACTGAGAAACACATTTCGACTTGAACCGTTCCATTTGAATGATTAGTGTTTCCTTCTCTAACTCATTTACCATGCAGTCCATTCATATTCACAGATTATCTGTGATTTACAGGCTTATTTCTGAAAAAAAGAATCTTAATGTAGTACTTTAGCCCCACCTGCCACCCTCACCACTGTTTTACATTAAACTCGACACAGTAACAACCCCACCTTCTATGGAACCCATTCTCTATGGGAGAGGGGAAGTGAAGCTGCTGGCCACAGGGCAAGATCCAATTTAATTCCAGGACACAGAGATGGGTACCCTCTGGCTGACTCCGCGAAGGGCTGCTAGGGATACATACAGAGGCTCTGGTCTGGGAACCCATCATCCCACATCCTCCCCACCGGACACACCACTAGATATTTACATGCATCCTCTCCAGTTTGCTAAAAGGGCCTCCCTCTCGTGCTGTGTCCCTTTTCCAGACGAGGAAACTGACGCTGGGGAGGCACTAGCTTATTTCGAACTTAGGCAGAGACCCCAGAGACAGGGTCTCGGCGCAGGTTTCAAAGCTTAAAACTCTGTCCACTTGAGCTACTTCATTTCCTAGCTGCCTTTGAGAATCCTCAGTATTCTCTTGGAAAACAAAACATGAGGCCCGCGCTGGAGAACTCAAGAGCAAACACAAAGGAAAGGGTAGCCCGCGGGGGTCTTCACAGACCCGCCCCGCTCCCAGGGGTGACTCCTGGCGGCGGGCAGGAGTGGGGACCGAGCCCCTCACGGGTTTAACACTGGAGTAGCGGACTCCCAGCCCGGAGGGGCGGGGAGCCGAGCGTGGACACTGAGAACGCGGGGTGAAGGGATGTGAAGTGCTTGGTTAGGTTATGCGCGGGCGCGGGCGCGGGGAGGGGAGGGCTGGGTTTGAGGGTGGAAGCGATCCCCGCCGGCAGGGAAGAACAAAGCAGTGGCCGGCCCGCGCTCACCCGAATGCACTTCAGGCGTTGAATCTAAGATGAGGGCGGCCCGAAGGGAGGGGAGGGGAGAGCGCGGGGGGCGCACGGCTCAGTCCGAAATCAATCGGGAGTTTGCATTTACCACTATGCCTCGCCCGTAGTCTGGCGCCTCCTCACTGCTCCCGGCCATGTTTCTCCCGGGGAAAGCGGGAAGGGAAGAAGGGCGCGGGAAGGATCTGGGAGGGGGACTGGGTGGGGGGGGATGAGGGCTGG